AAATTTAAAATACACAGCCTTTCATTTAAAGCATAAGCCCAATCAAAAATGTTAATACAGTTAATATATATTTCAACTCAATTATCATAAATGACCTTTCTCTTTTTAGCTAACCTGTTGAAAATATATAAAATGCTGTTTCCTTTCAAAAATTTTAAAAAGGAAGAACCCTATATATGATCATTTAAGAACATTGCATCCATTTCAGCTTAAAGAAGTCCATGCAGAGAGCAAGCAAAAGCCATAGCAACCAAAGCTCTACAGGTGGGAAGAAATGACAGACCTGACCTCAGCCTGTTTCTGCTGAACACTAGCAAATGGTTTGCGGAGGCAAAAAGCCGCAGAGCTTGGAGTTGCTGCAGGCACAAAAACTGACAGTTCTGCTCAGACTGAAAGTACGACAGACACTTGGGAAAGCTAGCCACTCACTTCAAAGATGTGAGAAAAATGGCCCCGCTACCTTCCCTATTTGCTCAAAAGGCTCTTAACAATCTAAACCCATCAGTCCTATAATCCTGAAGTGCACGAAGTGAAGAGAGGTCGCTACTGTCTGAAAAGCCAAGAATATACCGCAGGGCTGGGATGAGCTCCTCAGAAGAGTGACTGCAGGGGTAAGGCTACGTATTTGAGTACAGAGCTAAAAATAAATAAACAAACAAACAAACATTGCTTAGGGTAAGATGTTTTCTTTGTGCACTACCACATCAATAAATAATACAATCCATGTTTACATGTAAACCAGAATTTTTCTTCTTCAACAAAGAGTAAGTCCAAATTGCCAATGTATCCAAGAACTTACACATTCTACTAATGTGATAGACCTCTCAAAAAGAAACCTTTGCAAATATGAAGTGATGAGCAATGAACTTATTAAATCACTCCAAATATTATCAGGAAGAGCAATTTTGTATATCAAAAATTCCTGAAGTTTGTAAATTCTTCATAAATGTGAGCCCTAAGTATCCATTCGATGCTGATTCCTGGTTGGGACATTCTGAAGAAGCCTCATGTTTAAATATATTCAAAAATTCTCATTCTTTTCACTGGTAAATAAGGCACAGACCCTTACAATGTGGTGGGGTTGGTTTGTTTTGTTTTCTTGGATTTTTTTGTTTTGTTTTGTCTTGTTTAGTAAGGAGCTAAAAAAAATTTTACGTTGCTTAGGATATGATGTTTTCTTTGTAAATGACCATCATATCCTAAACAACACATAATTATTCTATTTACAATTAACTGAGGCAAGTGCACTACACCAAGTCAATAAATAATGCAGTCAGTGTTTACATGTAAACCAGAATTTTAAACACAGGGTCTCACTGTGTAGTTCAGGGTAGCTTCAGGGTAGTCAGTTCATTATGCAGTCCAGGCTGGCCGCAAACTCAGAGCAATTCTCCTGCCTCAGCCTCCCAAGTGCTGGGATTACAGGTGTGCACCATTGTGTGCCCAGCATACAATGTGCATATTACATTCCCCTGGGAACCTAGAAATGCATACTCAGAAGATATTTTAATTAAATTACTAATCATACCATTTTCCCAAAAGACAGGCATAATCTGATCAAGTTTTTCTTTCACAGTAGGGAAAATTTTGACAAAAAAATATCAAAAAGGGAGTTGGGGCATAATTCCAGATACTCGGGAGGCTAAGTCAAGAGGTTTCCAAGTTCCAGGCCAGCGTGGACTATTTAATAAGATCCTGTCTCAAAACAGCATTGTTTTAAAAGGCTGGGGATCTAGCTTAGTGGTAGACTACCTACTTAGCAGGTGCAAGGCCTTGGATTCAATCTTCCCTACCACTCCCCTCCGAAAAGCTAAAGAACTAAGTTTACTGTAGACAAATGTACAAAAAGAAATACACTGACAAACTTCCAAAGTAACTCCTACACCAGCTTCTTCATTAAAACCAGCAAATAACAGACAAACTGAAGAATATAACTGCTAATATGAAGATTCACAGAACTTAAATGTTTGCTGGTTGGTCAGACAAAGTAACAACAGTCACCAGTAAACAGCCACACATGGCACACATCCCTTGGCCTCCATACAGTGCTCAATGACATTTTGACTGGATGCTCCCTAAAAAGACTATCAGAAGAGCAAAAAGAAATAAATATAGGAGCTGGGGATTTAGCTCAGCGGCAAAGCGCCTGCCTGGCAAGCACAAGGTCGTGAGTTCGGTTCCCGGTACCGGAGAAAAACCAGAAAAAAAAAAAAAAAAGAAAGAAAGAAATATAAAACATAGTTGTTGTCTTCAAGTTAGAAGCATTAAGAACAAAAAAAAAAAGGACAGAATCTGGTTACAAAGTCATGGATGATACTCCTTAGGTTCTGTAGTCTCAGTCACCAAACACAGCTGTCCCAGAGTATCTTGAAAGTAACACACTCCAGACATGGCCTCCAAGCCAATGTAGAGCTCCTGGAGGCTCTCAAGTCACCGTGGCAACCACTTCATTGAGCTGAAAGTAAATGCTTGCCTTTCAGTTGTGGGTTTTTTTTCCTTGAACCCCAGTCTTCAGGCATGTCAGGCACGCATGCTAGGCAAGCACTCTAGAACTGAGCCACACACCCAGCCCTTTCTTCTTTGAGATAGGGTAGAAGCCAGCCTTGAAGTTGTGATCCTCCTGCCTCAGCCTCCCAAACAGATGAGATTAAAGGCATATGCCACTGTGCCTGACTTGCAGACATTCTTTACCAAAATAATCTAGAGAACATCATTTCAAAACTCAATGTAACTACTCCTACCACTACAGAAAGAAGTGTAAGACCTGAGTGAAGAATGGGAAATTACTGATTTGTCATGCTGCAGAGGATTTAAAACTTAAGATGTCAGCTCTTACAATGATGCGCTTATAAAAATCAGCAGCCAGGGGCAGGACATACAGCTCAGGGGTACAGCACCTGCCTGGCAGGCACAAGATCCTGAGTTCGATCCCCGGCATCAAAAAAAAAAATTTAAAAAGCAGCTACTTAAAACAATGCTATAAATGACACTTCACATGGCAAATGCTATCTTACAGACTTTCCATGTTCAGGTCAACACTGTAGTCTGAAATTCTGCCAAGCCTACTACTAGGAAAGTCTCTGCAAAACAGGCTCACTTTTATTTTCTTTCTGGTTTGACCTACTTCATGCTAAAACTTTTAAAACTATATATAGTTTTAAATCATGTTAAAAATAAAAGAGGATACATTCTCCTATGAAGTCAGAAGATTAAACTCTAAGGTTGCTAAAGTCCTTTTTTTGCCCTGAAACTACATGATTTATTGTGATAACACCAAAAAGCCTATCACTAACTGTAAAAAATCTCCCCTTGCCAAAGCCATTGATGGTGGCTTTAAAGGGGAGTGGGGAATAAAACATAACTCATTTGAAGCAGAACCAGTGACTTGTTCAAAAAGCTAATGACGACCTTGATTAAGACAAAGTTCTGTGCAATAAAAACTGAATTCCTTGGGCTAAGTATTATTGTCCTCTTTTTCTGCTAATATCTATGAACAGTTTTTCTCAATCTTAGTGAGGAACTGTGGAAGTAATAAAATTAGAAAACAACTTTGTTTTATTAAAATGGTAGCCTAGCTCAGCGCAATGGTGCACACCTGTAAATCCCAGCACTCAGGAGGCTGAGGCAGGAGGATCATTTCAAGTTCTAGGCCAGTCTGTGCACCATAGAGTTCAAGCCCAGCCTGAATTACAGAGCAAGACACTGTCTCAAAAAAAAAAAAACAAAACAAAACATGGTTACCTTAAAATTTCCAAACAAAACTTTCAAAAGAATTACTTGAAAGCCTCATCCTTGCCCACTTTGAGACTGTTTTCAAGGGCACAGAAAGGAATCCCTCTCACCCTTAGTATACCAATAAAAAGCCATGTACCACCTCCAACACATAGGGCCTGACTTGTACCAGATAACGGAAAAGGTATCAGTATAAACACATATTTACATGACTTTAAGTCAGGCTTAAAACAGTGATCATCTAACAAAAGGTACAAATAGCCAGGAACCTTCAAGCCATGTATCAACAACAAGAGCAGCATGCCATTGCTGAAGCCAGCACAGCACATACAGTCGACATGGCCTTGTGGACAAGTCTCTGGAGGCCCATGGCACCTTGGCTGGCCTCATACAACTGCAAATCATGGCTTATTTATTACAATTATGTTGTATTTTAAAAGTCAGCTATACTCATTGAAAAACTGTTTAGCTGCCTTCCAGATTTAGATACTCAGAAAACAATCCACTACACGGTCTGTTCTTAATTCTTAGTCACTGTCCTCTTGCTTTGCTTCAGCTCTGGCTGAATGTTCCTACACCGCGTCTTCCTATATAACATAACCCTAATCATTAATGCCCAACCCAGAACCCTGCTGATGGCTTTAGGTTCTGCCATTTTCTTTTCATCCTTCTGGCAGGTGTGCTGTAATGGGATAGAGTCTACCACAGACTTACTGCCTTTCTTTGAAAATAGAAAACAGAGTGATTTAAGATCTACCTTGTTCAGAAAATGTTGCAGGAAAGGAAATTCCAATCTCTCAATATTGAATTAAAAAACTGTAAGAAGCCTTAGCCTTTGAACAAAATATATAATAAAATCCTTTCTTAGTCCATGAACATAAAAAAGAAACGTTTCTTACCACGTGACTAATTCATATTAAGGAGTGAGGGAGGAAGCCAACTGTCAGTCAAAAAGTCTTGCTCTGAATACTGATCTGATAAAGTCATGCAGGAGTATTTGATTTAAAAGTTGTTTGTTTGAAATCAAGTCTTTAAAAATGTAGGATTGTATCTAGTAAAAAGTACTGTACATTCTAAACACTTAGAACTACTAAAAGGTATCACTAGTGGTATGGCCTAAGGCAGCCATTGACAGCCGCATATTAAAAAGAAACAGCACTAAAAACACAGACATCCTGACGTCAGTGACTTCCAATAACCAACCAACATTCCAAAAAGCAAAAACCGAAATGTGCTGATAATTACTACAACACGTTATGTTAACCAACCTCCCTAGTCCCGCGCAATGAGCTCACAGAAGTCATGATGTGCACGGGCTGTATCCTTCGCTGTTTCCACTCTTGATTTAAGATTTCCGTTCTTTCCAAAATTTTTTGACGATTAGAACTAAACATACTCTGTAAAAGGAGAGAAGAAAAAGTGCTCATTGCTAGAAAATGCATAACAGCTCTGAAGCAGATTAAAATTCAGTGACCCCTCAAAAATACCAGGAAGAGTACTTCAAAAGCATAGAGATTTTATAGTAGACTGTAGTTTCCCATATTCAAATAATAAAAAAACACAACTATTATTCTATTGTAAGTAGGAGGGGAACAAGAAATTTTTCCATCCTCTCTTAACTTTGTGTATTTAAAAAAAAAAATCACAGTAACTTTAGAAACATAAAATCATGAAACATGTTACTTTATATTTTGGCCCTCAGTCTACACATATAATATAAAGACAGACTGAACACAGACTAATTTCCAAATAAGCTGAATAGTTCTTCGATTAAAATTTTTCCATTATCATTAATGTGCCTAATATGTGTTGACTAAGACAGATAAAGGACTTTAGCTTTTAAGTCCCATTGCTCTTACTGTAAATATGATCTTAGCTGAAAATGTACTGTTTCCAGTTAAAATTTATTTGGCAGCAGGGGATATCCTTAACTGTATATGCATTTTTATAAAAGATAAAATTATACCTTTACTTCATCCGCTCGTCTGAACCTCTTGAGCTGTCTCAGTCGCATGTACTCTGATTTTACACGCTTCCGCCAACAAACAGGTCCCTTCTCAGATTTCTTCCCCGTCTGGCCCATGATTATTCTAAAAGTAATGGTTTCACATTAAAATCACTAATCTAACCAGCTTGAATTTGATCACCTGTCTCTTAAGCCCCCAACAAACTAACAATCAACAAAGAACACATTTTCCACCGCTCATATTCACAAAAAGTTGCTCATTTGTTTTGTATGGTTAAATCCTCGAAACATTTCATTCTCATTTAATACAACTTTTAAAAGTATTTTTATTTATAAAATTTCCACATTCTTAAACAGCAGCCATCTTACAGAAGGAACATGGTCTCGGTACAAGAATTCAGTACACTACACCACAACTAGTTTACTCTTTGACATTCACACTGTAAAGGAGAAAGTGTAGAAGCAGCCTCCCAGTTTTAAAGAGCTGTTACAGAAGCAAGGCATGACTGAATACACATACCTGGCTCGCCGTACCCTCAGGTTCCACATTAGCGGGCTCTGAATTCCCGGCCTCAACCAACCTTGGATCAAAAATATTCAGGGAAAAGACTCCAGAAAGCTCTAAAGAGTAAAAGTTTTTTTGTTGCACGGATCCACACAAATCAAATGATGTGCTAGCTAGCAGACCCTGCTGTGGCCTCCAGCCACTTGTCAGATCCTCAGCCTTGTTTGAGTACTGCTGGCTTCAAGTCTCATTTTTATCCCATGTAGCTGGGTCCACAAAAGCTGCCTCTGTGCTACACATGTACAGACTTTCTCCAGGTCATTATTCCCTGAATAATAAAGCATAACAACTATTTATATAGCGCTTCCATTGTATTAGGGATTGTAAGTAATGTAGGCGTGACTTCAAGTATACAAAAGATGTGTGACAAAATAGGCAAATAGTCTGTTATTCTATACTATATATGAGACTTGAACATCCATGGACTTCGGTATCCAAGAGGGGTTACTACGGTCAATCCCCCCATACTGAGGAACCACCCTAATTGAAAAAGTAAAAGTGAAAATTGAAAAAGTAGAACTTACATCCAGCACTGAAAGTAACAGACATACACTGGGACATATAATACGTGTACAAATTAAAGTAGTCTCCCACACAATTTTTACCATGCTTCTCTCCTTAAGCACTGTGATAAAGTCTATTTCCACTTCTTATGCCATTTTTATTCACATGAGGGGTTTCTGCTAGCAAGAGAAAAGAAGAATACCGCACATGCAAAGTAAATTCTTCTGCCTTATCTTTAGTTGCAGGCACTAAGAACCAATTATGTTTAAATGTGGGGACAGCCTACAATTCACCAGATGTCTAATGCATATTGCAGAGTCTCTGCCTCAAGTCTAAACAAGTGTTCTTTTCGAGAACATTTCCTTCTACAAGTATTAAAATCATACTATATCTTCAAAAGATTTGGACATTTCTCTGCCAAGCTGTGCAGAGCCTTATATGCCACACTAATGATTTTTAGTTTACCTTAAGAGCAGTAAGAAGTCAGAATGTTTTAAATAAAAGGGTAGATGGTGTGATTTACATTTTGAAAAGACCAAGCAGAGAGCAATATAGGAACATAGAGGTGGTGAGGAGAGTAGAACAACTTTGCAGCCAGGTTACACGGCACAGCAAGGAAGTATCTGAACACGGCAGGACAGTCAGTAGTTTTAGGCCACAGTGGTAATGGAAAGTCAATTCAAAAGTTACGAACTCTTAATTCATTCAGAAAACAGGCTTACAATGAAGACAGTCCACTAAAAGACTGCTACATGTTAAAATATAAGGAATTAATTCCCCATGCCAAGAAAAAAAAGCCGGGCATGGTGGCACACGCCTATAATCCCAGCACTCAGGAGGCTGAGGCAGGAGGATTGCTGCAAATTCAAGACCAACCTGGGCTACAAAGTGAGCTCAAGGCCAGCCTGAACAGCACAGCAGGACCCTGTCTCAAAGAGACACCCCTGCAAAAAAAAAAAGGAAGTACTAGAATTCGTATCTTATGCTTTCTTCTAAAACCATTATATGAAATGTCCAGACTGAGAAAAATGATCCTGGCTATGATAACAATAATCATGCTTAGAAATGTAATGCCCTACCAGGCATCAGAGTACACACACCTATAATTCCAGCACTCTGAGAGGCTGAGGCAGGAGGATCACAAATGTGAGATCTGAGCCAATCCTGGGCAACTCAGTGGGACCCTGTTTTAATCAGAGCTCGGGATATAGCTCTGTGTGAAGCCCCCAGGTTTGACCCCCAGTACAAAAACTAAATAATAAAATTTTATATATATATATATATACACACACACACACACACACATATATGATAATCTCCTGATCATTACTTTGGAAATGGAGCATATTTATTACTTGTTTCAGTTAATGAGAGCATTAATTTCAACCAATTAAAATACTATCTAATGGTAGCTTATTTATTACTAAATCAAGTATATATTAATTGCCCAGGAAACAAAAGTGGCAAATATTTTCCAAAGTTACTTAGGAGATTTTCCTGCCAAATAATTTAAATACGGAAAATGTGGAAGGAGACTTCGGGCTTGAGTAACTGAGTACTGCTTCACTTACCTGTGTATATAAAAACCCCAGACAGAGAGAAAACTACCCAAAAAAAATATTCAAAAGAGAGGTCCTGAGTTCACTGGGTACCTCTCCACAGGACACTCAACCACCAACCAAAGACAAAGAAAACAGGTGCTGACTTATTTAGAGCTAAAAGGGAAAAAAAAATAAAAATCCATCTTTATCTTAAGTATGCAATAAATATCATGAGCCAGCCAGTGAGTATAGAAAGTTGAATACACAAAGATAAACAAACCTTGCTCTTATGAAGCTTACATTCTTCCTGAGGACAAGAAGAAAATGCTAATAATGAGATACATATGTAAAAGGACTATCGGGACAGAAAAACAAATTAGAAAGTGCACAGAAGGATGATAGCAAAGGTGACAACTGAACTCAAGCTGGATAGCTGAGCCGATTTCAATGGGTAAAGAACCCAGGAGAAAACTGGACAGACAGCAACCAAATGTAGAAGAGTCTAGCTAGCAGATCCTGTTAACGAGAACAAATCCATACAGTCGAAATGACTGAACACATGAGGAGAATGATTAGGAATGGGCAAGAAGTTGAGAATTTGAAAGAAGGACAGCTGGATGAAATCACCAAGAGAGAAATACTCCGAATGAAAAGACTCCCAGTGCGGCCTTGTTGGTGAGTTGCTGAAGTGGAGCAAAGCTGAAAGCATTAGCGTAAGAGGACTAAAAACGTTCCACATGTTCGGGGTAAAGCAGAAAATAGTATTAAAAAGATAGTGAGGTGGGTCCAAAAAATAAAGTTAGGAAGCACTTGCAGCTTATTTTTTAGAAGTTAGCTCTGTGGCAACTGTTGGCTCATATCTGTTAGTTAGGTAACAGATGGGCTTAAGTAATTCTACAAAAATCATCTGCAGTCCACTTAGCACTTAAAAGGCCTAGACAGTGGTGGCAAACCTATACCACAGCAGGCTGTTTATATCACTGAAAGCTCTAAAAGAGTCACCATCAATGGCCTACGAACTAGTAAGAAATCAGATAAAAAGGGATTATCTGTAGGCTCATTAGCTCACAGGCTAATCAACTAGCTCTTCTGCAGCCTTGACAAACTGTCGGTCCTTGAAGGCAGCCATCACCCCTGTGCAATAAAGCCTACAGTAACGCATGTTTAATTTTGATTTGCACTGTGGGTATAATTGCAATTCATCTTCAGGATCCATACTTTACGTCTTGCTGAAGAGATACTGTATTAGTTAGCATTTCACGTGTAAGAACTAGAACCCTTGCCAGTTTTGTGGAATACTTTCCATGTTTTTACCATGCAGTAAGGCTATTTCTAATACAGTATCTCAAGACAAAATCTGGAAATGTTCTGAATATCTTTCTTAAGTATATGGATAAATAAATCCACGAATAAATGGTAAAATTTAAGACACCAATTAGAAGGATGCTTTACATAAAACAAACTCCTACCCACTGTTTTATAGCATTTATAACCAATTAAAATCACATTTTCATGTTTTCTACTCTACTCCACCCCTACTGTAAATTCTTCAATAGCACAACCATTTTTATTCATTTGTATAATCCCAGAGCCTAGTTGTGTGTGCCCAGTAAATAGCAGACTTAAAGGGAAAAGAAAAAACAGATGTATTCACTTACATGGATAACCTGTATCTTATTAGCACATCATCTGAAAGGTTTAGCTGTACTACACACTAGGAAAGGAAGGGTAGCCTTTTCACTCCTGACCCACAAAAAGAGGGCGATGTGCCCTATTACCAAGAAACTCCCACAAACAGCTGTCAGGGACAGTTAGGTCCTATGGTTCAACTGTTGCTACCAAGCAGGAGATCCAAAGCAAAAAACCCAGTGTTTCTGGGATTCCTTTTTATTGAGCAAGCGGATAAAGCCTTGAAGTCCTTCTCCAAACACCCCAAAGTTTGAGTCCACACACCTTGCTCCACACCTAGTGTAAGAAGCCTTCCTCTCTGCTTCCTTCCCCCAACAAAGACAGACCCAAATCAGTGATCTTTCCACAAGAGCACAGCCTAGTTAAGTATTAAAGTACAGCTCTCAATATTCATGTTAGTGGAAAGAAACTTCATTAAAATGATTTGTTTCTGGAAGGACAAGGAAATTGTGAATATATCCAATTTATAATTATTTTGTTCAAAAAATGTTTTGTTTCATAGATAACATCACACTCTAGTATTATTTTTATCCAGAATATGAAAGCAACTTCTCTTAGCCAAACAACAGTTATTCTTTCGTTCAAAAGCCAAGCCAAAGTATGGCAGGTACCATCAAAACCTTAGTAAGATGCAGAATTACATCTTATAGAACTACATTTGCATAGGTTTAGTAAAGTTAAGGGAAACTGCATTGTCCAGAGTCTGCTTCCTGAATCAAACTCAACTCCAAAGTACCTAAACACCCTTTGCCACCTTACTTTGGCCCACTGGAAAAGATACCACTATCTGGCACCAGCAGCTTGGCACCAGCAGCATTTCCCCAG